AGGTTTCAATTTTTTCACATATTTGAAACGTTCAAGAAATGGAATTACAAAATGAGAGTTTCTTTAAAATATTTGTGGGAAAAACTGATTTATTTCAAAGAATATACCCTTTCAATTTAAACAGATATAATCTGGAGTATCAATTTTATGATATTATGATATTCAATGTTCTGTTGAATAGTGTAATAAAATATTGACTTCATTCTTTTCAGACATGATAAGAAGTTGTGGGGAGGTTGTTCGACACCACAATTGTCTTCAGACTCTCCATTTGAACTTACTTCTCCTAAGCAACAATTTGGAGTGACGCTTCAACATATCAGGGATAATTATGATGTTACCATCCCTCCTATAGTTAAACAGTGCGTGGACTTTTTGGATACACCAGACGGTAATTTTGCAACACAATGTTTGTATTGCAACTGTTATTTTGTTAAAAAAAAATTATTGACTTATGATTTATCTTTTAAGCTTTAGAAACTGAAGGTTTGTTCAGAAGGTCTGCCAATGCCTTGAAAATAAAGAGCTTGAAAGAAATGGCCAATAAAGGTCAAAAAGTGATATTTGGAGATCCACATGAAGCTGCGGTTTTATTGAAAAAGTTTCTACGGGAGCTGAAGGAGCCTTTACTTACTTATGAACTTTATGAGGAAATTTTACAATTTCAAAGTGAGTTGATCAGTTAGCTGTAATAACAAAATATTCTGTATTGTTACTCAGTAGAGAAGTTGGGTTTGGATGAAATTCTTTTCACCCAGGTTTTCAAATGTTAGTTCTGTAATTTTATATTTGGATTTGCACATTTTAATATTCGTATACCCAATTACTTGACAAAATGTGAGTTCTAGTATTATACTAAACTATTCCATAAATTCAAAACAATCACTTCTCCCAAATACCAAGTATGTGTGCCTGTATATGTCGTTGCGTGCGTGCAAGCGTGGGTGTGTTTTTTGATTCTACTTCTAACTTTTCTTTCTGTTTTTCAGTTTTGAAGTTAGCATTATCTTCTGCTGATAATATTATTTTGCCTATAGGTTTTATTTCTAAAGAACCATTTTGGTCATATTTTTCTTGTTTTTTTGTTTTGAATCCATTGGAGAACCATGATCATGTATCCTCATAGTTGACTTGACCATTTGGATATTCATTTGTTTTTATCTCGTTAAAAACCCTCTGATATTCCATATTATCAGTCATATCTTCTAAATCTCTCTCATTCGTAAATGAAGCATCAGCTAAAGAAGCATTATCAAGTAGCACAGTATTTGATTGTATTCTGATGAACTAGATTTAATTTTCACTATGTTCCAATGAACTTTCTGTATCCAATAAAAATAAGTTTTTGTTTGCATTTCGCTCAGTTTGGATACCTTCTGATTTCGAGCTTGTATATCTAGAAATCTAGATAGTTCATATGAAAACTGTTGTTCTTCCAAATGCTTTGAAACATCTGTTGGATAGATGCAGGTTCTGAAAACGAATATAAAACTGCTTATCCGATTTCTAAAAATGTAAATGTACTGGATATAATATTGAAATACCTATCAAATGAGGTATCACAATACTCCCCTCGTTATTTAAAAAAAAATTGGTAGCGCCCTTTCGACAACGAATGATGCTTTGGCATCATTCTCTCCTATGAAGAAGTACTTGAAATGATACCCTTTCAGGTTTTTTTTACCTTGATATCTTGTCCCTTTTGAAAGTTGACAGAGGGGGACCTATTTATGTCTCCACTGATGTATTACCCTATGAATAAAATTCCTTATTCAACCACTCAATATTTCAACTTTTGACAATCATAATCAAACCAAAAAATATTCAAATGATGAAAACCAAGTTAATAAAATTATCAGAAAGCCAAAAACTTCCTTTTCCAAAAATTGATCACTCTTAAAAATATAACTCTTTCAATTTAAAATTATCAGTTACTGTTCCAAATCATAGAAAAATGCCCTGTATATATCTGAAATACATTTTCCACAGCTGTTTTCAGTTGTTTGTAATTATAAGCAATGTGTTTTTTTATTTCTCTTGTTTTTTTCATATTCCAGCTATTCTTGAAAAAGGAAATGAATTCATCCCAAAAACTTTAATAACGGAAAATAGTTCACAGATTGAGGGCATACTTGAAGATCGGCTGTAAATCAAATTGTCTAAGGAACAATTAATTCAGGCCAGTTTCAAATTACCTACACTGTAGGTTTATGGACAACTACTCCCCTGGCTAAAACCACGAAGGGCGTAGGATTATATCCGACAGGTGCCACTGCAGGATTCTTCACTGAAGTTATTCCTGCATATGCTGTTGGCGATGCAACTGCCTCAATTGATTTTCAATTATTGGAACACACTTGCAGGCCAGTTTTGCTCTGCAGCAATCAATTTTCAATTATTGGAACATACTTGCAGGAAGAAAACATCACAAATTGAATGGGCATACTTGGGTATACTGTAAATCAAATTATCTGAAAGAACAATTCATTCAGACCAGTATCAAATTATCTACACTGTCGGTTATTGGACTGACGACCCACTTGCAGATCGGTTTTGGACTGTTTGGTCACTCATCAGTACTCATCGTCAACATAAAGTCGATGATTTCCGATAATTTAAAATCGAATTCCTTCAGAGTATCATTCTTCAAACTAGGCTGAAGCGAACTACAACGTGTTTGTCGTTGGTAGTAGCAACTTTGATTTTTCAAATGGAACACCCTGTATATATTATTTTTGGAATCTAGCTTACCAACTCTAAATACTTTTATACCAGTTAAGTCCACATTATAATCTTTAAGTAGGTCTTTTACACTGTTTGTATCTTCTTCTTTCCTATCAATGCCCCTTTCCGCTGCTGCCTCTCTGATATTGGCAATCATAATGTTGGATGACCTTTTTTGGCGCTCCAACATTTCAGATATAAATTCTTCACATTCCTCTCCAATGGAAACCTTATTCTTGAGGTTATTCATATTTTTTTCAAGAGTCTCCAGTCTCTCCTCTGTCTTTTTTAATTTTACTATCAATTCGGGTACATTCTGAAAACCTTGTTCACATTCATCACAGAGAAACATGAGTTTTCTTCCGTTTTTTAGCTCTAGGCATTTAATCTCTGAAGCAGTAAGTTTTGCACAAACAACAAAAATGAGAGCCTTACGAGAGTCACACGGAAATATTATAGTGGATTTGGATTCTTTTTTATTGCATTTCACACACTTTCTCATTTTTAACCTGACACCGACCCTAGCTGGTTTTTATCCAGATGTTCACTTGTATGTTTTTTATTCACTGCTGGCTGGTTTTTGTCTTGATTTTATCTGCACATTTTTCACTGAATTAAGTACATAATGCGGACAAATCAAGTGATGGACATATAATTTCATTAGCTATATGGATACTCTATGTATTTCTGCGTTGTTTGATACCACTTTCAAATATATTTGAACTGTTTAATCAACACCAAATTCATTAACATATAGACAAATTTAAAGTTTGTGCACCTGCTCACTGTCATACTGTCAAAAGAAATATCGTCATAAGCGTTAGTTGCTAAGTGTTGAATATAAATTAGTTGTGATAGTGAAATATTGTTAGAAATAAATTTATGATGCACTGTTTGGAACCTTTGGTGTAGTACTGAATATTACTGGAGTTTTTTCCCAACACCAAATCGCTATTTTTAACACCTTGACACGTGTTTCGATCACCAAGTGATCGTCTTCAAGAGGAAGATTAAACTAGAAACTATCGCGAAGCTAACGCTATTTATGCTATATACCATATTCAGTTTTGTGGAAAATAGACAATAAGAGACAAAATGTGTTCAAGGAAAGTGCGCCTAGTGGACTTGAAAGTTGCCGAATTGAAGCAAGAATTGGAGGAGAGAGGGCTACCTTGTTCTGGAAAGACTGTGGGATGACTTGACGGAATCAGGAGAAGATCCCGAAAGATATTTATTCCAAGTTTCTGGATGAACTTCAACAAAATTCGGTAAGTCTGGAGGAGAAACTTCTGGAAAATTCGAATAGCTTGAAGGAAGGACTTCTAGAAAATGCAGAAGGCTTGAAGAAAGAACTTTGTAGTATGGCGAGCCTACATTGGCGTTGGTTGTATGGAGAAGCAACGAATATTCTGCAAACCCTCACGGCTCAGGAAGATTATGACCGTGTTAGGAATCACACGTTAAAAGGTGAGACCTCGTTAATCCTTAGCTCGCACACGTTTCTCAACTTCTGAGAGTGGTCGTTCGTATGGGGGCGACAGCTGATTACCGGAAAAACAGATTTTAAACAGAAACTTGTAAAGCATCTTGAGCTACGGTATGGACAGACCCACTTAGAGCACGTTTACCATTCACAGCTGAAGAACCGCTGCAAGAAATCAGGAGAATCTCTACAGGAATTTGAAGCCGACATTGCTCAGAATTCTACGATGGACCTTTACCGATATAAAAGGCCGGCTCCTCGTTCAGAGAGGGCAGTCTGAATTCAGAAAGCGAATCGAGCGGTTAAACAAGGAATTCAAATAGTGAAGATAAATTAAGCGTTAGTTGCTACGTGTTGAATATAAATCAGTTGTGATAGTGAAATATTATTGGAAATGAATTTGTTTAAGACAGTAAATTCTTTAAATTGTTACAATACCTACACGCGTTGTGAATTTGGAGGGCTATGACAATACAACATGGATGATTCCCACATTCGACAACAATGAAGGTGTCTCAATCTGTATGCATCACATTCGCAACCGAACTAACAACAATTGCAGTCTCCGAAACGAAGATATTTTATACAAATGGCTTTGTGATATGTTGCCAAAATAAAAATGTATAATACCTTTCTATTCAAAATCATTTCTTCTTATCTACCTAACCTCACCGCCTTATGATAATATATCCTTAAAATACAGAAAACGCCAACGAAAAAAAAAAAAGAAACCACAATAACGACGAAACGATAACGAATAAACGCACGCAAAACGGTCAAAACCTATGCAAAACAACGTATTTTGAAATGTCATTGTCGTATACTTCACTCCCCCATTGCCCCCACGTTGAGTCCACAACGCGTAACCCCTCGACACTTTTGGGTGTCCTCCTGATGATTCTAACTTGGTTAACAAAGATACGAAATAGTGTCCTTCTAACATGTTGGAACGCTAGACTTTCGTTAAACCAACATGTTTTTTTCTTTTTTGATGTATTTTGAAACCCCTTGTATATACATTGATACCATGTTTTTTTCTGTAATGATGTATTTTGAGACACCATGTACACATTGAGGAACGGAATGTTGAAGTGTTAAACTGTCATATTTATTCTTAAATCTGATTCATCATTCATCATTATTATTATATCACTTTCGCGCTTCCAATACTCAATTTTTATTCCTAACCGTTCATGCCTAATTTTGAAACCGGCAACGCTACATTGTCTCATGAATAACGATTTATTTTACGACCGAAAACACCGAACCTGCCATGCTGGCATTGGCGGCGCATCACCTCGATACCATCTCCATCTCTCTTAGCATCGATTACGTCAAACGTGTCTCTCTCACTCCTGCAAACAAACACCTTTATATGAAACATTAATTTTTCCCCAAATCTAGGGATATTTCCCTATCTTCTACAAGGAAATGACGTTACAATTTTCCTGAGATTCTACGGAAATGAAAAAAATGCGGTCAAATATAATGAGTCAATTTCGGTCCCGACAAAACATCCGCTATAAATATCA